GGCAAAGCACGGCGAGAGACCGCCGCCGCGGCAGCGGCAGCGACGGCGCAAAACGTGACAGCAGGCGTCCTCCATCCTTTTCTCCTCCTCCTCCTCCTCCTCCTCCTCCTCCTTCCCCTCCTCCTCCTCCTCCTCCTCCCTCCTCCTCCTCCTCTCCTCCTCCTCCTCCTCCTCCTCCTCCTCCTCCTCCTCCTCCTCCTCCTCCTCCTCCTCCTCCTCCTGGCGCGCTCCCTGACTGAGGGAATAGCCAGGGCAGGGTGGGAGGGATGAGCGGCCATTCACCTCTCGACGGACATCTGGTCGCTTCGGCCGAGCATGCCCCGCGGGAGGTGGCGCAGCCCATGCCACTGCTGCAGGAGGCAGCTACTGGTCCAGCAGCAGAAGCGTTTGCGCGGGCCGTCCGCCAGAGCCAGCAGCAGCAGGCTCAGGAGGCGGTCTGCTCGGCCATCGTTGCCGCCTCCTTGCGCCCTCTGGCAGGCGCGGTCGAGCGACCTCCTCCGCCCCCCAGAATCGGAGGCAAGAACAGCTCAGATGACATCCTCCCAATGTACTAGTCTAGTCTAGTCTAGTCAACTGTCGCCCGCGATGAAGGTAGCGCACCTCGTGTAGCGCTGAGCCCTCCTGCGGTTCCTGCCCTTGTTGGGCCTCCTGGAGGCGCCCCGTGTCGCCAGGGCCGGGCACGCCGCGAGGTCCTGGCCGGCCAGGGCGGCGGGCGGGGAGGCGGGGGGCGGTTCTGAGAGGGCGGGCGGGGCCATGTCTTCCTGGAATGTCCCGCGCTGCTGGCCAGCCCCCCCCCCCCCCCCCCGAAGGGGAAATGCGACCCATGGAGCAGGAGCCGGCGGACCATGTCCAAGGCCATGGACCATGTCCACGGACCCCTGAAATACAGCAGATTCTAGGCGACCTGCGCCAGCAGGATCACGACCACCTCCTGAGTCGGGCCGACCTGACCCCACCGTCCTACACATGCGCCCAGCACCACAGCACCATGGGGGCCGAGGACGACTTCTTTCCTGGCGTCGGGCAAGATGTTGACGAAGAGGTCGACCTTGGGCCACCCGATGGGTACGACGGCCATCAGGAGGTGGTGCGGCCAGACGCGCAGAGTGTCCTCTGCACGCCACCGGCTGCGTCGGAACGGAGTGACCTGTTGTCCCCTGCGGCGGCGGCTCCAGCCTCGGCGCCTGGTGCATCATGCCGTGGTATTTTCCACCTCCCCCAAGTGCTGGCTGAGGTGCGCGACCAACTTATCCAAGCGGGTCTTGGATCAGGCACGCCGAATTTCGAGCAGTCCTACCTCGTCTGTGGCATACCCGAGCCTCCCGCCGATCTGCCACGCGCAGACACGCGGAGGCATGACAGCTTGATCCTTACTCTTGGCTCCCAGTTAGGGCGCGGTTCGGGCCCCTCCCGTACTTGGTGCAGACTGTTGGCCGCGCTGAAAGGTACGCGATCAGTGAGGGGCTCGACGCTTTCCGGGACCACCAGTGCTTCGTTACTGATCTGCTTGCGCTCGCCCAGGAAGGAGAGCGCTGGTGCCCCGAGCTCGAGCAGGGTCGTGCCAACCATGCTAGAGCGTGACGGGCCAGTCGCAGACGCACTCTGCGTGACCCTCCCGAGTTCCGATGGACGTTGCGCACAGGCCCTTGGAGGAGCTTGTGGGCACAGAACCGCAGGAGCTGCGCGACTGGCTTGGCAACGGCTGGGCAGACTACTTCGCGCGCTGCGGTGCGGCCTCTCACGCACTGGCTGGGTCGGTTGCCGAGGCGGTAACTGCTGCGCTGAAACAGCACCGCAAGGTCCTGCAGTTCATTTCGTGGGCGGCACTGCAGGTGGTGGCTCGCGAACAATGGGGATGCGACGTGGAGGTCCCCAGGCCACCTTGCGAGCAGGCCAGGGCCATTGTGGTGGCACGTAGCACGGAGCATGTCCTGGCTTACTGTGCCAGCCTCGGGCGGTTCCGATGTACCCAGTGCGGAGCCACGGCCACAACAGGCTCCTCCCTCAATTCGCTGCAAACTGGCTCTCATCGTGTTTGTCGGCCTTCGCGTGTTGCCAGTGCTCTCAACGCCGAGTACTTCCGCGCCTTCGGCGAGGGTTGGGTCCTCTGCAGCGACCAAAAGGCTGGCATGGCCATCGGCGCGGCCTTGGCGCTCGAAGGGAGCTCGCAGCCCTTGGCTCCCGCGGCCCTGGTGCCACCTGCCCTGGCCGAGGAGGTTGGTTGCGCCTTCGCCGCGTTTGGGCACGACGTGTTCAGGGGCAACGATGTCTACTGTTGTAGACGCTGCGGTTCCCATTGTGCTGCGGGTGATGTCCGCGCAGTGAGAAAGCTTGGTTTGAGGTGCGAAGGGCTCTCGCCTAACGAGTCCACGCGCCGCAACCAGCAAGATGCGATCAGGCGAGTCGAGAAGGGACTGGCGCCTCGTGCCCGCCGCACCCCAGTGGCGCTGCTCCCGCAGGGTGGCCCCTCTCGCTGCCACGCGGCGCGATGATCGATCATGTCGTGATTCGCTGCCGTCCCGTGGCTGGCTGGTGGCACGGCGTCTTCTTCGGCGGCGGCGCCTGCTTCGTCGGCGGCGCGTTGGCCTACGTCGACGCGCCCCTGGCCCTCTTCCTCTGCGAGTGGGTCTTGTTCCACATTGTCTTCGGCCTTGCCCTCTCCGCCATCGCGGCGTGAGGGCGCCGCGCTGTCGCTCGTCGGCCGCCCCCGCGGCCGCTCGGGAGACTCGCGCGAGGCGCCGCGCTCCTGCTCCCCCTACTCCTCCTCCTCCTCCACCTTAAGGTGGGGGAGGAGGAGGAGGGGGGGGAGGAGAATTCTCCTCTCCTCCTCCTCGTCGTCGTCCTCCTCCTTCTCCTCCTCCTCCTCCCCCTCCCCCTCCCCCTCCCCCTCCTCCTCCTCCTCCTCCTCCTCCTCCTCCTCCTTCCTCCTCCTCCTCCTTCTCCTTCTTCTCCTCCTCCTCCTCCTCCTTCCCCCCTTCCCCTCCTCATCCTCCTCATCCCCCTCTTCCTCCTCCTGCCCTTCCCAGGGGAGAGGAGAGGAAGGGGGGGGAGGCGCGATGGAGGTGGTGGCGGCGGGGTGGGGAAAGGGGAGGAAGAGGAGGGGAGAGGAGGGAGCAGGGGTGGAGGTGGCGGTGGTGGCGGTGCACACTCTGAGGGCCCGCAGAAGAGCAGTCGCGCCTGACAGCGTTTCTCCTGGGCTTCGGCGCCCCGGGGGCCTCCAGCAGAAGCGCGGCCCGGGAATCTTGAGGGCGAGGGCAGGGGGGGCCCCCCCTTTTCCTGCGCCCCCCCCCCCCATCCTCAAGCAGACGGGGAGGTCACACGGCGACGCAGGGGTCCGCAGCCGAATACGAGGGTAACCAGGGTAAGGACGGGCCACCTTCCCAATGGCACCGCTGCATCCTTGCCTCCTCGGTCCGTCCTTAGCCCCCGTCGATGGCCAGCCCCTCTCGAAAACACTTCGACGCGGGCGTCCAATTGGCTTGCATCCTCATCGCGCATCCTTGCTATCAGTTTTGACTGTGCACGCGGGGGTCCAGGTTAAGACTCCCCCGCATCTTCGCGACTGAACCACTCGGCAAGGGTCCAGTCCTACTCGCGGCCTGAGGATACGGACGCGCGGACTCGTTCTCCAAGTTCGGTCGGAGCCGTCCGCGAAAACAGTAGAGAGCTGAGATATCCTCGGCAGGGGTCAGGACGAGGATAAATCCGTTCCAGAGCGTTCCAGAACGCTCTCAGAAGGCCGCGGCGCCCGATCCATCCTCCAGAGCTGCTGACCAGATCTCAGAGATTCGCAATAGATTCGCAATTGATCTTCACCTGAATTTGTCCTCGTCCTGGCTTCCTACAGTCAAGTCGCATGGTAAGGATGAACAGTTTTCAAAGGCTACCCTTGTCTCCTTGCCCCGTCGGCCTATCCTTGGCGACTTTCGTTGGCTAGCCAGGTCCGAAAACGCCAGCATGGCCCTCCAAGGCCCTTTTCATCCGTACCGCGTACTGACGTAGTGTTTTTGTGGACGGCGTGAGCTCCGAAAGGTACCGCGCCCCTTCCCCGGGGAACGCGACACACAGCCGTGACAAACATTTCTTCAATTTGCCATGATGATGATAGTTCCGATCCTTGCAAATATTTCTAGCATGACATTATGACGCGTCATTCGGCGCAGAAGTTCCCGATCCGCCTAATTCTCTTAATTCTGTGGCCCCAAAGCCAGATCGGAAACTCCTTCGCGCCACACCCTACGAGTTATCAGCGGGATGCGCCCCACGCGCGGGGTATTTTGAGTATTTCTACTCCGAATTACTCCGCGCTGATGCGCTATTGGCGAAAGCGTACTCAAATCACCTCTCGTCACCGTGATGTTCCGGCACCTAGGACACCTGTGCGAGGGCCCGCGGAGGCAGAGAAGCTGCCAGAGCCTTCCCGTCCTGATTTTTGTCACGGCGGCGCGAAGGTTTTTTCTCGTCCCTCCCTGCCCCCCCCCATGTCGCCGACCCCTCTTCCCCCCCCCTTCGTCATCGATCTTCCTCCTCGATTATTCCTCCTCCTCCTCCTTCTCCTCCTCGTCCTCGTTTTCCTCCTTCCTCCTCCTCCTCCTATTCCTCCTCCTTCCTCCTCCTCCTCCTCCTCCTCCTCCTCCTCCTCCTCCTCCTCCTCCTCCTCCTCCTCCTCCCCTGCAGGGCGCCGTCTCTGGAACACGTGCGTCGGGTGCCACACGCACCAGTGGAACTATGTACTACTTCAGGAAGGAGGAGTCTGCAGGAAGTGCGGGAGGCCAGTGAAATTGTACAAGCCAAAGAGCAAGGGTGATGGTCAGTCACCGCTCACCGATGTCGCTCTTGTCCAGCCAGGCCCGAAGAACAAAGGCAAGGACAAGAAAGATGGGCAGCCAGCTGATCCTGGTGGAGGAGTTCTAGCCTTGCTCAGCCAGACCATCGCGGCCACCAGCGACCCGATGGTCAAGCGCGTCCTGGAGAGCCAGTAAGCGGTCCTCGCCTCGCAGAAGCCCGCAGAGACGCAGGTGACAGCGGACGAGGCAGTGCGCAAGGCCTCAGGCGCGTGGAAGGACGCAGAGGCGAAGCACACCCAGGCAGTGGAGCAATTGATTCGATGCAGGGCAGCTTTGGCTAAGGCTGAGGCACGCGAGACCGAGTGTGCTCGCATCTTGGCCCAGGCGGAGTTCAACAAGCAGGTGGCCATCAAAGCCCTCGCCAACGCCTCTGGCTTGCAGGTGCAGGGGCATGGTGAGGGTAAGGCGGGTGACGACAAGGCTTCCAACGGGGAGTGCTTCCGCATGGAGGTCGACGAGGCCTTCTTCGCGTCCACCAAGGAGCTGGAGTGCGAGGAGAGCGAGCAGAAGGAGTTTGCGGAGCTGGAGAAGCAGCTGCGCGAGGTGCAGCCCGCCATGGCTACGAGGTCGTCTGAGGTGAAGGACTGGGTCGCGCGGACCAAGGCCATGAAGGCGGCCATCCAGGACAGGATGCAGAAGAGGAGGACGAGCGACGGCGCTGTTGCAGGCGGCGCGGGCAGCGCTGGGCAGGCGGCGGCTGAGGGCACCGAGCCCACGGCGGCCGCGGGCGCGGCGCCGCCAGCAGCCCGCGGCAGCGACGGCTCAGGCAGCAGCGGCGGCTTCTCGGACGAGGCTCTGGCGGCCAGGGCTAAGCAGCTCAGCGACGCCAAGCTCGCGGGGGCCGACGCGGCGATGCAGATGGCGGCAGCGACTGCCGCTGCGGCCGCGTCGTGAAATTCGCTCGCGGCGCCTAGCCCTTCGGGCGGAGGCGCCGCGTCTGTCAGCTGCCTCAACTCGGGAGGCGGCTTCGCAGAGAGTGCCGTCACGTCTTCGGCCTCTTCAACATCGGCGGCAGTGTCGACTACTGGTCAGTCCACGGGTGCGAGTACGTCGCAAGGGTGTGGCACAGTGTCAGCTGGCGCAGTGCATTCAGATGATGGCAGTGGCACTGGAGATTGCAGTGCGCTCTTTTTCTCGAACTGTACTTGTCTGGGAAAGAAAGCATGGGGGCATATCCAGTCGCTGGTGTCGGACACGTCGGATAATTCAATTGACTTTTTTGGGCCAGTTGAAACTCACATCGGAGACTATTTGAGCAAATCGTGGGCCACTAAATTCCGTTCACTTAAGCCCAAGCACGTTTACAATCTGGCGAGGAGCACAGGTCTCGGCAACACTGAGGCCAAGCGCGACCGCGCCAACGAAGGAGGTGAGGTCCTTTTGTATCGGCAGCACCTCCAGGTGCATCGCTTCCCGGTCTCAGCGGAGGATGTACCCGACTTATGTGCAGATGGTCATTCCGCATATGACGGATTTTTGCCCGTGGTCGTGCATTTCCAGTCGTACTCGGTGGTGCTCGTGCTGGTATATGGACATCCCTCGATTGGTATGCGATCAGCCACCCACCCACCAGGATTTCTTCGAGCGCTACAGTTGCCATGGATACGCAAAGGGAACTTCGACATGCCCGCGGAGGTGCTTCAGAAGTCCAGTTTTCTCTCTAGGATTCATGGGGGGATTCGGAGGTCAGAGGACGAGTTTACTTGTACGACGGCTCAGGGCGCATCACACATCGATTACCTCATCACAGGTCCAGGAGCTGAGAGTTTCGTCGTCGACCTACGCGCCGATCACAATGTCCCATGGGGGCCGCGCTGTGGATTACGTTTGAAGTTGAGGCACAGTTGTCAACCGCTTTTGACGCGCTCGCTCACTGTTGCAAGCAAGCTTCCGCAGGTGAGTCGGCCTGGCACGCTGCCGACACCAGGCTCCAAGAGTAGTAAAGTGTAAGCCGATCGTTCGGTCAGGGCTGCCCTGGCCAAGGAAAAACTGGTCGACGAATCGCTCGAGCTCGTCGGCGATTTTGTTTCAGGGCCCCGATGGGGGCGATGAGCGCGATAAATTCCCTGAGCCTGTTGTCTCTGAGGCCTTTGTTCCCGTCGAAGGCGAAGAGGAAGAGGGCCCGTGGGCCGACGAAACTTACTTTAAGCCGGCGTTTGCGGAAGTTTCGGGGGTCGCGGAAGCCTCTGGAGCATCCGGTTTCGCCAGTAGTTCCTCGGCGCCCGTTGGTTCGCTTTCCGAATTCGGTGGTATTTTTCTAAAGCACCTCCCAATCTTTCAGTGGCCGCTGCCGACCCAAGTCCGCCCCATAAGAGTGACGAGTCTGCGCCCGAGCCCCTTTCAGAGCCTCCCACCAGCGGCAGCTTGGTTGATTCTGGTGTTCAGGTAGGGGCCGCCTCCGATAATATGGGACCTGTTGCTGTCGAATCGTCGCCCAGGAACCCTGAGTTTCAAGTGTCATCGGACTGTTGGGTTTGGGCTCAAACTCGTGTCGGCTCCAGTTTCATTCGGCCCCAAAGCAATGGAGTCTACGCACATTGGTCTGCTATTCATGATTCGCTGGCGGTGCGAGTTGCAAGGCCGCACGTTCATCGCGCGTCGGCACTGTGCGCTGGATGGGTTTCCATTTTGGAAGCCGCGATATCCAGTCATCACGGTCTACCTCTTAGTTCAGTTTCACGCGCTGCTGACCCGCATCTTCGTGAGCAGCGCGCGCAGCAGGCGGCCACCTTCCGCGAGGTTCCTCTACGAGACAAGGTGGCCAACTGGCGGTCGCGAGTAGTTCAGGTCTCGGCGAAAGTATCGAGGCATCGGGAAAGAGGTAATGGAGCCCGTCAGCTTTTATATATTCGTGAACTTGGCATCAGGCCTGGCAGCGATTACCCTGAGGGAGCTCGCACAGCGCTTCCGTTCAACGATTGCGGGGACTGGGAGCATTGGGTGACCTTCTTGAGCAGCAATTCCCCCTTCGCTGGGAGAAGTTGCGACAGCTTCTTGCAGATTGCGCAGCGCGCTGCGAAGCATGCCGCCGGCAAAGCTCTTCGACATTCACTTTCAGAGCTTAAAGAATGGATTTCGTCTTCGGAGGCGACTGGGGCGCTGCGCAAGAGCATCAAAGATCCGCCGACGGTTCAAGACGAATTATTTCACAATGGTGATTACCTTTTTCATCCGAAGGACGTGATTGATGCCGACGCAACTAAGTGGCACGCTTTATGGTACGACCCCGAATGCAGCATCGACGAGATCTGCACCGCGTTTGCCAGCGTGAGGGAGTGGGCTCGCATGCAAGGGCTAGCTCCCATTGACGGCGACGAGGTAAGGGCGGCGGCTGCCCGCATGAGAGCTAAAGCAGGACTTGGAGTGGATCAACTGACGCCAATGGATATTCAAAGGTTGCCGCCAGAAGGTCACGAAGCTCTTGCAGGTATTCTCAAAATGGTTGAAGACGCGGGTACATGGCCGACTCAATTGCTTTGTATTTTGGGGCGCCTTCTCCCCCAGAAGGCAGGTGGGGCCGAATCATAGGGCTGTTGCCGATTGTCTGCCGTTTGTACACCCTCATTCGGGGGCCCCGCACCCAGTGCTGGTCTATCGACACGGCCACGGAGTGGGGCGCGGCGGCAGCAGGCATTTCGGCGTTGCAGGAAGCCTTTTTGAAGGCAGTCGATCAAGAGTTGTGTGTCAAACTGGGTGTTTCCAATGGGTGCGCATTGTTAGACTTCACATGCTTTTAGGATATGATCAGGCGGGGCAAGCTTTGTGACGCGGCTATGCCACTGGGGTTCCCTGGCGCCGTGTTGCCGCTGGAAGTCCAACTCTGCGCGGCGCCGAGAATCTCGGCGCAATGTGGGGCACGTGTAGCGCCTTTTCAGCCCGCCGGGAGCATCATTCAAGGATTGAGGAATGGAGTGCGGTTCGGGAGGTGCCTCGCCCACTTCGTCCTCGATAGGCTGTGCGCGGCGCGGGTGGCATCTTCCCAGCGTGTATGGGTGGGTGACTTGTATATTGGGCATGAAGGTTCTCGGGCCGCAGTGCGCAAGTCTATCGTCTCAGGAGTTATCCCTGTTCGAGATCAGGTTGTTGGAGCTGGCATCCAGCCGGCACCTAAGAGCGTGATTCTTGGTGACACAATGAACGACAGTAAGCACATGTCCAAAGTTTTGCGGACACATGGAATATATAATATATACATCTATATATACCGCATAGACCACCCTTCGGGTGATAAGGAGGTGAGGGGGGGGGGGGGGGGGGGGAGGGACCGACGTCGCACTCGATTGATCTCACTATCGAACTTACTACCGATCTCACAATCGATCTCAATCGATGGATCTCACAATCGATCTGACTATCGATCTCACAATCAATCTCATAATCGATTCCACAATCGATCTCACATTCGGTCTCGCTATTGATCTGACAATCTATATCACAATCGATCTCGCATTCGATCTGACTATCGATCTCACTATCAAACTCACTATCGATCTCACATTCGGTCCCACTATCGATCTCACTATCGATATCACAATCGATCTCACAATCGATCTCGCATTCGGCCTCACTATCGATCTCTCTACCGAACTCACTTTCGATCTCAGTAACGATCTCACTATCGATCTCACTATCGATATCACAACCGAACTCACAATCGATCTCACATTCGGTCTCATCGTCGATCTCACTATCGATCTCACTACCGATCTCATTACCGATAGTAATTTCACTACTAACTCAATCGATCGATTTCACAATCGATCTCATTATCGATCTCACAATCTACTCCACAATCGATCTCACATTCGGTCTCACTATCGATCTCACTTTCGATATCACAATCGATCTGACAGTCGATATCCCATTCGGTCTCACAATCGATCTCACTATCGATCTCATTATCGATCTCACATTCGGTATCACAATCGATCTCACAATCGATCTCACAAGCGATCGGACATTCGATCTCGCGTTCGATCTCACAATCGATATCACTACCGATCTCTATTGATCATCAAAACAGAACAGAACATCGTCATCATCATCACCATCATCATCATCAATATCATCACCATAACCGGGGCACCGACGGGGCACCGGCGGGACACCGCGGGCCCCCGGCCGCCCGGAAGGGAGACATTTGGTCCGGCCGCGCCTCAGCCACACGGGACTCCAGCGGGACACCGGCGGGGCACCGCGGGCCCCCGGCCGCCCGGAAGGGAGACATTTGGTCCGGCCGCGCCTCAGCCACAGGAGATTTTCTCTCGCCCGCCCACGCAGCTTCGCCTCGCCCGCACGCACGGCACGCATGAACACGGAACCGACATCGATTTCCCGGTAGGGGGGCTCTCCGTTCCACTTCGATCTCACCCCCTCACTTCATATATATATATATATATATATATATATATATATATATATACATATATATATTATATATATATATATATATATATATAGAAGCGGTTTTGCAGGTGAACTATCTCGGAGTTGCTTTGGGAGTTGGGCGCAGAGTAGCACGGTCATTTCGACGGACTCGCACTCTCAAAGCCACAGCCTGCAACAAGAAGCTGAGGCGCCATGCCTTCGCTTCCAAGAGCTATGAGACGACGAAGAAAATTGAGTTTGCGGGGCCGCAAGCTGCTGCGACATATGCTCATCATGTTCACGGCACGTTTGGTTGGCGACTGCAGCAACTTCGGAGGCAGTTAGGTTCGGTGTCAGGGGCGCATCAGAGAGGACGGTGTATTCAGACGCTACTCGATGTTCGCGCCCCTCATCAGGACCCAGGTGTTCGGTTACCACAGTTATGTTTGAATCAATGGTTACGGACATAGATTGATTACCCGCAGATTCGAGCAGGTGTTCGCAGAGTGTGGAGTGATGT